TAGAGTTGTTTGTTGGTTCTCTCCTGTGTAGTATGTGAGTAGAGTTGTTTGTTGGTTCTCTCCTGTGCATCGAGGGTTTTCCGGGTTCTCCGGTTTTCCTCCCTCTGCAAAAATCAACTTCTAAATTCCAATTGGAATCCAGTGGAAGAAGAGCCACTCTGTGGAATCCACTGTTAATCCCATTATTTTTTATTTATTTTTTTAAAGAATTTGTGTGCTTAAATTTATATTTTCTGGCTAAAATATGAAATTATCACATTTTCTTAGTCGGAGGTCATGCTTCATGTTTCAATCTAAAATCAAACTATAAACCTGCCGCGTAAGGCCCTGTTACATTAGGCATTTTTTCTTGCAACTTGCAATACTGACAAAAGCAGAGCATTGCACGTTGCAGGTGAGCTATTAGGCATGCACAACTCTCTTTGCAGCTTCCAAATGCAATGCTTTATTGGTTTGCCATAAAACCGGATATGTCAGCAGTTTCTGATGCTCACAGTAAAAATGTTGGATTTGTCACAAAAATAGATGTTGCAACACGCTGCAAGTTGCTTCGCAACAGCGCAAAAATTAGCAGGTTATTCAACATTTTCTGCAACCTGCATTATTGCATTACCAGTTGCAGAGAGGGGCCTTGTTACATGTGCAATGTCTACTGCAACTTGCAACATAATGCAGTAGTATTGCAAGTTGCAAGAAAAATTGCCTTTTGCAACAGAGCTTTTTGCAGGCAGTGAACTCGCCAACTAAGGGTGCAACTAAGGGAACCGATCGGCATGAGAGGCCAGTTTTCAAATGGTTACTGTCAGTTATTAAAACTAGACCAATGCRCGGCCCAAACCAGTTCTTAGAACTGATGAGTAACATTATTTTGAAAACTGACATCATGTACCGATCGGTTTGACTTCATGAAAGGCACCCCAAGCAACACTTGTTCCTATGATGTAGAGCCATGTTAGACTGTTTTACCTTGTCTATAAGTTCCCTTTTAGTGTTTTTTAGTTCAGCCTCAGCTTGAGCAAGCCGTCCTGCCATGGCACTCATCAACTCATGGTCATTTGGTGCAGATGATGAACCTATAATATGATTATAATATATTAGAATCCAACATTATTGTGTCACTTGGTACATGTACATCTATCTGACAAGTGTTAGGCAAAGATAGCCCAATATCTTATTGTGTAATCTAATAAAATACTGTATGAATTTTATTGAACCCTGAATCAACCTCTGGGCAGATCTACAATTATGGCATGGCTAACTCGCAGATCTAACCCTTAAACAGCCTCTGGGCTGATCTACGTCAGGGCGTGGTTAACTCACAGATCAAACCCTGAAACAACCTCTGGGCTGATCTAAATCAGGGCATGCCTTATTCACAGATCTAGCCCTGTCACAACCTCTGGGCTGATGTAAGTCAGGGAATGGTTTAATCACAGGATAGGTTGTGCAGGGATGAAAGCTAGAGAACCTGAACAAAATCCCATAATTCAGGAAGATACACAAAAAACTTTACTGTCTCAGGTGAGGAAGAGCAAACTTCATACTGTACCTTTGTGAGTACCTCTTGGTAACTTAGAAAGAACATCCCTTCTAAGGAAATCACTTGGTAGTTCATCCAGCAGTTCTGGTACATTATATACATAAGAAAACAGCATAAGACATTCAACAGAATGAAGAAATCGAGAATTGAGGGCCATAGGTTTGTTAGCATATTGCTATTTAGTGCTACCCTCAGTAAATAAAGAGTTTACTTACTTACTTACTCACGAACAGAATAGTTTTGATAATTCAACCATATTGGAACATTTTCTTCTATACCTACATACCTGTTGTGTGGTCATCATCATATTCTGTTTCATATCTGAATGGTGCACATGGCTGCCTGCAGTGAAAAAAAAAAACATTTACAAATCTTTGGGGGAAGTGGGGAACTCAAATCATGGAAAAGGGGCTGTGATGCTCGTCGTACTTCTTAGGGTTCCAGATCTGAAACTTGATACCTCTTAGGGTGTCACAAATCTAAAAACACTATCAAAGAGTAGGCTATTACCTCTCTGGGTGTTTTTGAGGCATTCAGAAACCACTTAGATAAGATACTTAGATAATTGTTACCTTTTAGGGTAAAAATCATTATTTGCCATGCCCACCCAGATAAGACTCAGGGGAATATATACTGAGATGTACGACGCAAGTCTTCAAGCGGCGAGGTAAGTATTCCCCGATATTTATTGAGCCTGAGGTGAATAATTGTTTTAGTTTTTTTAACACAAGCGAATGTTATTTACTTCTGCAAGCGGCACAAATCAGCAAACGAGCATGAGTGTGTGTGCTATATTTACGTGTAGATAAATATAGCAGCATAAGATGTAAATTGTAACCAATGAGCATGCCAGATTTATCATATTCACTTGCGTAAAATTACTATGAAAAAATATATTCGTACATTTTATTGGGTACTGTATTGACCTTTTGGAAATAGAAAATAAATCTGTTCAATTCCTGATGAAAGATAAACCATTGGCTGAGCAGTTATAGATAGAAACTTTTAATATCATCTGTTAGTTAGTATATCTAAAAGACAGAAAAATTTTCTTCCGGAATATATATGATAGCAATCCATTGATCACCATGACGACTGAGAATGCTGATCTAGAGCTTGGCTTTCCTTGGCAAATGAAGTAAAAATATTTTGAATTCATGTCTTTTCATCATATGCTTAAAACTAAACTTGTTTGTTCTTACCTTGGATTAAGAGGCGTTCTTTTTCCCTTCTTCAAGCTTGAAAGAGGTGAACTCATCGTTTAGACTTCACGACAACGACCCGCGCGAAGAGAGAGCATTTGACAAGAAACCACAAAATCCAAAAGAAGCCAAAATTTGTAAATAATTATTTATCCGGATGCTTAAAGATTATTTGTGGCGAGCTGGAAAGTTGATATCTTAGTTAGATTTCGTTTAGCTAAACATGACTCCAGAAAACTAAATTATTAAGAGGGAATTTTAAGCTAAGATTTGGTTGTGTTGACAAACTTTTGTCTSCAAGACCGCCATTTTGAATTTGAATCTTTCCACAGGTAGCCCAGCCCAGTTGGCGAAACTTCAAAGCAAAACCACAGTAAAATCCGACATTCAGATACCGCCAACGTTATAACGAATTAAGACAAAACGAAAGAAAAATTATAGTTCCTAATAATGGAAATCTAGTATTGCTAATGTACAGTGTATCTAGAAAAGATCATGGAACGTCTAAATGCTTTTTGGGAACCCTGTGGTCTTTGGACAAATTCTTTCCCAATGTCTATCCTACCCAAAGGTAGAGAAGAAACTGGGAACAGGTTGGTAACCATGAAAGCCGCTGTAAGAATTCAACTCGACCGCAGGCTCGTATTGTGACGTCATTTTTCGAACTGCGCGCTCTATCGTTCTTGATTCTGATTGGCTAAAGTAAAAATGATTTGTTTGTGACGTACTATTCCGCGTAATAAAAAGAATCAACTTTTTCTTTTTTCCCAGTTCGTAAATGATTTCCAGTAGGAAAGCTTTACGAGCAACTTAGCGCGAAAAAAGTATTTAGAAAGCTAGAAAAGCCTTCCAAGCTCACGCGAAACCCAAAGAAATAAATATTTGTACGTCGTTTTGAAAGATCATTTAAATTAGTAGAAGAAAAAAGAAGTCAACACCCACTCGCGGGAGAGCAAATCTCTCGCGAGGCTGAGGAAAATACAGGCAACTCAAGGCAAGAGATCAGGTACGAAACTAAAGAAAAGTGAACTTGTTTTACTAAGGTACAAAAAGCTATTTATTCACAATTGTTTTGTTTTTCTTTTCGTTAAAGTTTGCCGTTAACATTGCAAAGATGTTAAATCTACAAGAACAGTCAGGAAGACCAAAGACTGTCTTACAAGAACCGTGCGCCGTGAGCCACGACGAGACTCTTCATGTCTCGACCACAGCATGCATGGAACACATCTCCACTCAAGCAACCATGCTCTATGGCAACTGTAAGTAGTTTCCTTTTTGCTTTAAAATTATTAGAAAATAAGCTGTAATACATTTAATTTGGAGCGAGACTTGAATATGAATAAAGCGGATTCTTGACGCGCGTGAGGAGAAAAAGCGTAAAAGCGCGCCGGAAAAAAATCAAAAATTAGAAGAAGAAGAAGAAGAAAGAGATCGAGAGGACTAAAAACAAAGACAAAAACAACCAAGAAATATCAAATATTAACTTGCATGAATAGTATGATAATAAATTTTTTAAAAAGTCAAATAGACTTTCTTAAGTTGTTCTCTTGTCTACTTAACTTACCACACGCAAGTAAACAGTCCTGATAATTGTTAATGTAGACTGACGATGCAAGAATCTATAGGGAAAATAAGAGAGGAAAGAAATGAGAAAAGGAATAAAATGAACGGGGAATATTCCATTCCTCTTTTTCTTAATTCTTTTCGGATCATTTTCCCGGAAGATTCTTGCATGCTGGCAGTCTATATGTACTCTCGAGAAAGTGAATACTTTGCGCGTAGGAGCATTTTTGAATTAAATTTAGATGAGTAAAATGTACCGCGAGCCTTTAGATCCCTCCATCGGCCTAGGAAATCTCTGCAATTGTTCCTTATTCTAAATAAAAAATAAATGAACTTATATCAATGTTTAGACATCATTTCTAAAAATACAGGTATTTATTTTTCAAACGATAGCAAAAGCAGAGATTTGCATACGGGTGTAAGTTTTGGAGAATTTATTATACTGCACAAAGCGTGACGTTCTTGTCGCCAGCTAGAAAAAATTGCAGAGCAAAGCCAAAAACCTTAGTCATTGCACAATAATAGGATTGAAAAAGATTGATTTTAAAATGAAGAGATTAAGAAACTTTTTGCAGTTAAAATCCATATACATTTAACTTTAAGAAGTGGACGTAAAATTTAAATCAAACCGTGACCAAAGCTGGACTCCCTCGATTAACAGGCTGAAACCTACTTTGGTTGTACGAAGACAAGAGACCATGTCCTTAATTTATGGTCTATTGATGACAAATAATGAAATAGTATATACTTAAGCAAAGCGCTATTAGAAAACGTGACTCGTGCTGGTAGATCAATGTTCTGTTTCCTGCTTGAAAGCAAACGCTTAACCATGATGAATGCTCTATATAAACGTCCGTTACAATAAAAGAAAATTTAAATTAAAAAAGTCAGCATAGTGTAACAGCCGGTTGTGTTTTTTATGCCTCTAATTTTACGTTGTTTAGCTCATTTGTATTTGGAATTGTATTTTTTATTTGAAAATACAAACTGTGCCTTGAAATATGGCGGGAAATAGACACGTGATCTATCAGTGCAAGTCGTGTGAAACGTGCGTGGTATACATCACACGTTATTTTGATGTCTACATCTCGATTTATAATAACAGCTGTACAAGAAACAGAAACACCAATCACCACACTTGTGGAGAACAACCAGGCAGACTTACCAKCAGGACCTGCGTCCACGATACTCTCCGCTGTAAGCAGCATGAAACTGCGTGACATCATAGACAAAATGAGATCCTGCCTCTTTGGATGGAGCTGGAGACAAGTGAGTCTGTTTGACCTGACGGGAAAACACACAGATACAGCAAAGCCCACTGTGAGCATCCCATGCACTGCGATTGTGCCCGTGAGTGTTCAAGAGCTGTTCTTCCCGTGCAGCTTATTGGAAGCCACCACTAGCTGCAACCAAGAAAAAGTAGAGGAATCAATGGCCATTCTACCTCATGATCAAGTCCGTAAAGCTGAAGTAGAGCTGCGCCTTCAACTACCAGAGATCTGTGACATTGCAGCTCGTTTGTGCATTGTATTCAGACCGGAATGTATCGTTGAAGTGGATTGTACCATCTTGAACTTCGAGGCCATTTCTGATGGTATGAGAGAGATTGGTTTGCCACTACCAACCCGATCAATTGCTTATACAAATGCAATCATGGCATCTCAGTCTTCAGCTGTGCAAGTAGCTGCTACATCAGAGGTTGATCCTGTTGGCTGTGACAATTACGAGATGGCGCTTGGTGTCACTCACCAAGAAACAATTGACGTACCAGCTTTAGAACATCAAGAAATTGTGGTCAGCCAACCAGACCTAAAAGAACCCATTGAGGTGCATGATGATGCTTGTGACAATATCGAGTTGAAATATGACCAAGAATTGATGGCCATTCCATCTCAGCCTAGTCGAGCTGAATTAGAGCTGCGCCTTCAACTACCAGGGATCTGTGAAGTCACAGCTCACGTATGTGTAATATTCAGACCGGAATGTATCGTTGAAGTAGATTGTACCAACTTGAACTTCGAAGCCATTGCTGATGGCGTAAGAGAGATTGATCTGCAACTACCAATCGAAGCAATTGCTAACTCACTTGGAGTCATACCACTTCAGTACTCAGCTGCATCAGAGGTTCAGGCTTTTGACTGCTGCAATTACGAGATGATGGCCCTCGATGTCTCCCATCAGGAAACACAGCAAGAAGAAGATCATGAGGTTCAGGCTGCTGAGGGCGAGAATATTGACAAAGCAACTGACGTTCCGACTTTGGATCTTCATGACGTTCTGGTCAATCAGCCAGAAGAATCCCTAATGGTGCAGGATGGTGGTTGTGACAATCATGAGACATCAACTGAGGCACCAACTTTAAGCCAGATGTCCGAGTCCATAACTCATGACGCGATATCTGCAGTCCAAACTATGGATGATCAAGAAGTGGTGGTTATTGACCAAGAAAACCTTCCTGAAGACTCTCTTGAGGTGCGAGTTGCTGAAAATAACCAGGAAGCGTTGGAGTCATTGGCCATTTCTCCTCAGCGTAGTGTAACAGAGCTGCGCCTTCAACTACCAGGGATCTGTGACGTTACAGCTCATTTGTGTGTAGTATTCAGACCGGAATGCATCGTTGAAGTGAATTTTACCATCTTGAACTTCGAGGCCATTGCTAATGGCGTAAGAGAGATTGATCTGCAACTACCAATCGGATCAATTGCTAATGCACTCGCAATTATGCCACTTCAGCCCTTAGCTGTGCAAGACGCTGCTACACCAGAGGTTCAGCCTGTTGACTGTGACAATTACAAGATGTCGCATGATGTGGCTCACCAAGAAACACAGCAAGTAGAAGAACAAGAACCAAAACTCTTAGACGAGGCTCAAGAGGAAACAGATGAAAAACATCCTGTCTGTTCAAACTTCGCCTCGATCTCTCGTCAAGATGCCAGCTCAGTTGCCTCAGACGTGTCTTCAGGGAAGTCTGAAGAAACCTTAAGAGGGGCAGAAATATTCTTTGGAAAGGTGGTTAAAAGAGAAGGAGAAGATCACTGCGCAGAGAGAGTATCCTCAGTAAAGGTTTTGCCAACACCATCACATCACTTTTTGGCCGTGTTGCACGAGATCTATCATCTGCCATCAGACGTAGCAAATGCTTCAGAAGCTGAGGTTGAAACCGCTGTTACTGATGGAAACAACAATAAAATAACTAGCAACACTCAAGCTCCTAATCAAAGTGAGGTTACGATGGACACAACGCCTAACAGCTACAAGCGGCAGAAGTGTTCAGACCAATGGGAGTGGTCATCATACAGTGAATTAGACGAGGATATCTTTGTTAGACCTGAGAACAGTTACCGACGAAAACCAAAGCCGGCCACTCAAATTGAATTGGTATCTGTTTTGGCACATCAAGATGGTGAAGAACGAAATGAAAATCAGGAGTTCCACCATTCGCCAGCCGTTGGTGTTGAAATTTCCCCGTTAGCGTTGACTTCAGAAGTCGTTACCGTTGCGGTTCGTGGAGAAGCGTATGTGGATGACAACATGCCTGTACCGACTGAGAGCGTAGCTCCAGCATCGGAAGTGATTGAGAGTGAATGTCATGTAATAGCTAAAGACTATACATCGATAACTGAGAACACACGCTGCGAACTTTTTTCTCAATCAGTGGAGCTTGTACAGGACTCAGAAGAGGTGGTCGCCATAAAATCTACAGACAGACTCAAGCCCCTGGTTAATGTCACTTATCAGAAGTGTCAACAAACCAATGCTGAAGGTGTGCAGCGACAGGAATCAGTCAACGAGATGTCTTCAGAAGGGATTCAGCATCAGGATGACGTCATTGCATCCATCCCAGAGACCCCTGTTGAAGAAAAGCCAACTGCAGCAGAACAGACACTCACTGAGTGCAGAGTGGCATTTTCTTCAGTAGAGGAACATAAAGTGAATGTTGTGGCAGTCCCATCTGATGAACAAGTTCAAGCATCTGACCGTGTAAGCACGGTGTGTCACGCAACACCAAAAGAAGATGCTCAGCCAACAAGTAACACAATCGCCAAAATTGTGACGAGAGAAATTAAAGAAATAAGAGAGTCTGTGAACAACAATGTAAAAGTAATCGAGGATGTAACGCTGGGAGGCATTAATCAAAGAAGACGAAAAAGAAAATATGCTGATGACGACAATCAGAATCAGCTGTTATCTAAAGACGTCCAAGTTGATAAAATTGTTGCGCAAGACCTGGGCAAGTTGGTGGGAGATAACAGACTGTCACCTTTGAATACAGACAGTTCACAAAGATATCCTAGTGATGTGCATCAAGCCCTCATGACACAGACAGTCGACCTTCTGGAAAGGGGAATAGTACTACTATCAGACGATGGCTCGTTTAAAGCTGTTGTAAACCCCAATTCCGTGTCAAGAATAGCGAGCGCACTCACAGGACACAACTTTTCTAGGTACTACAAACGTTATGATAATGACGTACTACCACAAGACTTGAAGCAGAAGTTGATTGATCAGGCTGCACTTGTCGCAAGAGASCATCAGGATAAAACATTCGAAGGCCTGGCGAAAAGACCTATATTTACCTTGTCTGATATACGAAACTTTGACTGCAATGGCGACTTCATCATGGAAGATGTTTCATCACCTAATATTCCTGTGTTTCCTTTCACGGGAATCCAGCAAACACCACTTCACCAGTGTTTCGTCAATCCATTCCAGATAAGCATTACTCCTCAGGGTCTTCTAACCGCGGGTATTCACACTCCATTTCAGATGATGCCGCAACAGAATCAGTATGACATCGAGATGATTGACGTTGATGAGTTATATATGGACATCGATGAAAGTATCGAAGACATGTTCATGGAATGTGAGGATAACACAGATTGTTCTTATTGCTCACAAATAAGCCTCAACTTACTTGCGTCTTTGCCAACCAAGTATGCTATCAGTAGACGCGCCATTTACTCACTACTAGATGAGAGGCCTTTGAATCCTGAAATACCAAGTTGGGGTTTGAAAGAAGGAAGCAAGAAATCCTGGTTTGCATATAACACTTTCAGCTTTCGACCAGAATATGACGAGCCTACAGGAAGTTTGTCCAGGAAGGACAGAGTAATCTATTCAGTACTGGATGAAAGACCTTTAAATCCTGTACTCATACCTTCTCTAGAAAGACAGAGCAAAGTGAAGTCATGGTTTGCTTATAACACCTTCAGCTTTAAAGAAGGGAATCTTATGCCGCTTGGGACCAAGTGTAACTGTATGGAGAAGACTGAAATCCCTGTCCAGACGGCAATAAGCCAAGCTGCAAATATTGTTCCATCAGCAGTTGAGCCATGGCCAAAGCTACAGCAGGATACCAACACTGTATTTTCTTGTACTTCACAGCAGAAAACCATAGCATCAAATTCTCCATTCAACACCTTTAGCTTTAGGCTTGAAGACCACAATTCCCAGCAAACGCCAATGTTAGGGGAAAGTAAGCAGGGATCAGTCTTTTCTTTTGAAAAAGCAGAACAACTTTTTGTGCCTCCAGCAGCGGAACCAGTGACAGTATCATCAGGACTTTCTTGGAAAGATTTTAGTTTCCTAAAAGAAGATGATCCTAAACAATTGTCATTCTTTGGAGAAAACAAGCAGAAGTTGACATTTTCTCTGGTACAGGCGGAAGCAGATGAATCCTGTGATACAAACCAACAGCCTACTGACCTTTTACTCCAACGAGCAGAACAAGCTGTGAACAAGAAAACATTGACTTTCTCATTTGGACAGGAGGAACAACCTGCATTCCCTGTCAGTGAAGATAGTGACTCTACCAGCAGTGAAACTGAAAGTCACGATGATGATTTGTTTGATCTCAATGATGAAAACGAGGAGCTTGCAATTAAAGAAATCATCACTGCTGTAAAATCTCAACTAAATGAAAGAAACATCAATATTCCTGAAGAATGCGTTGCGCAAATCTCATCCAGTGAAGAGGGATGCGGCGCCACTGGGGAATCAGTCAAGGACAGTGAAACACACAATAAGATAGAAACAGTCACCAAGCAAGCTTTTGCTGATGAACAAAAAGTCGAGTTGAAAACAATCCCCGAGACAAAGGATAAAGTAGACAAGACGTTGATGAATGTGACAGGACAAAGCCAAGCCACAAATAATGATTCTCGAGATGCATGTCTGGAGGCGAGAGTTAAAAATACTACTGAGCCATCAAGCAAGCCAACCATTTCTCATTCTAAATCTATCAATAACAGAAGCAAACCTTACCCCACTCAAGCTGCTTCTGGACTGGCGGCTTTCTTGTGTCGTGTTAAGGTGATCGAGCGTGACAGGTTTAGAACACTTCAAATATCAACCCAAGTGAGTCAAGATGAAAACGACGCTGATTCAACTAAACCAGTGCCTGCTTTGCCACAAACTGTGCAACTACATGAAGTGGTATCCTTGAAATCACTGACTGGGAATACAAAACGTCATCCATCGAATAAGTCTGATCTATCAATAACGATTGCTCCATCTGATGCTGAAGAACGTAAGGTGGTTTCCTGGACTCGAAACAAGAAAGAACCTGATGTGAAAGGCAGTGAAATGGATCGCTTGAAGTCGAGGACTCAAAGTAAAGACGCGGATGGATTAAGGAAATCAACTTCATTCACGTCATCTGAGTCTGGTGCTGCGAACAAGCGTGTGTCCTTCGCACAAAGTGAGAGACCTGAGAGAACAACCAGTTACATGGCGTCACCACCAACTGTCTCCTCTGTCGAGGAGAAGCGCAGTAAAGTGATATCCTTGAGGTCTGTGATACAAAGCAAGAAGGCGGATCCAATTAGCAAGCCTTTTTCACCTGACTCATACGTGGGTAGCAATCAAGGGGCCTACATGAAGCCAATGAATCAAACTATGAGGTCAGAACAGATAAGCAAGGCTACTCTTGAAGAGGGAAACAGTAAACCTGCACCCTTGAAGTCACCGACTCCAAGTCTAACGGCAGATTCAATGAGCAACTCTATTTCGCATTTACCACTTGTTTCCTCTGTTGAGGAAAACAGCGAGGTGGTCTTATTGAATCTTTTGCCCAAACGTAGAAACACAGAAGCATCAAGCACGTCGATACATTCTGTAGTTCCTGAATCTGGTGTTCAGAATACCAAGGTACTTTCCTTAAAGCCTTTGAATCAAAACAGTTGTAAGAAGGATAATCAAGTAAAGAAGTCAGTACCATCTTTAAAACAAGTTTCTTTTGATGTGGAAGATAGCAAAGAAAGCTCCGGGCTGGTTAAAAGCAAAGTTGTTTCGTCAACATCATCGATAACCACACAATGCAAGAACATTGACTTGTCGAAAGAAGCTGCATTGTCTGCCCAACCAGTTTCTCCTAAAGTGGAAACCAGCCCCAATAAAGACTCAGTAAACTCACCGGGACAATCTAAAACTGCGGATCCACTCGAAGAGTCCTCTCCATCCAAGTCACTTTCTGTTGTTAAAGTGGGAAAAAGCAGAATGGTCTCGTTGAAGTCATTGACTCGAGGTAGCAAATCTGACCCACTGAAAAAGGTTGCTGTGTCCTCACCACATGTTTCTACTGTGGCAGAAAGCAGTGCTAAAAAGGTTGCCTTCAAGTCAGTCAGCAAGGCTGCTTTGTCAAAATCACCAAGTTCCTGTGATGATCATGAAGTAGAGAAGAGTGAACTTATGTCATTACAGTCTGTGACGAAAAGTGAGAAGGCAGTTCCAGTGAACACATCACCTGTGGCAGTAAAAGTGAAAAACAACTTGGCTTTGACTCCCAGTAAAATTGCACATGTGAAGATCGATGGTTCTGCTGATGGACAACTTCCAGTCAGTGAGCCTTCCAATTCTGGTAAGTAGAATTACATCACATCCTAAATCCTTCAAGCAGAAGAATGTGACAATCTTAATATTTATTTCATTTTAATGTTATAATATTGAAAAGTCATGGATTATAAGTTTAGTCTTTAATGAAAAAGAAAGAAATTAGAAAAATTCCCAGATGCGCCTTAACTGCACTATAAATGTAAATAGGCATTCGTTGTTTTCAGTCACGATAGCAGTGTTCTTTCCGGTCTAGCTACCTCTATTTACAACAACAGCACTAAATGGATGATGAATAGATATTGAAGTACAAACATATCTATTCATAAAATGAAATGAACTGTGAGCAACAGCTCATTTCATTTTGGGAATAAATATGTTGTTACCCAAGCTAGCCGGTGACCAGAACTGTACCATATTTGCTTCTCTCTCTCCTCTATCCATGAAAAAGCATGCATTTTTACCATATCTGTTATGTCCATGCCATTTATTTGTTTGACTTCTTGAACGAATTATCATAATTTGTTTCTTAATCCATCTTACAGGGAAGCGCAAATCATTCCAAAGCTTCACTTCGTCACATAAACGAGAACTGGATGAAATGTTGGAGGAAGATCAGCAGAGTAACATAGAACGCCTGAGACAATTTAACAGCAGAAGACGAAAGCCTACTAGTGGAGAATGCAGAAAAACAGACGTAAAACTCAAGTCAGTGAGCAACAGTGGTGACGTTGATTGCAATAAAGACAGCGAGGCTAACAAGAATGTCAAGTTGGTCAAGACTGATGTTGTACAAGATACAAGCGTCGCTAAGCGCAGCTCAGTAACTACGAAACGACTTGAACCAATATCACTTACTGTTGATGTGAATACAGTAAAGGATGGAAAGAATGAGAGCATCCCAAAGTGGATACCAGGAACACTGGAAAAGACAAAACCATCACCTGAAGAAAGGGTTACTGTTACTGATGTACATAAACATAACAGCAGTTCACAATCCAGCCAAGGGACTTCACAGGAGTTCAATCTAACCCCTCTTGTTGCTGTAAAGACGAACGTGAATGCTAGTGGCGGCAGCGCCATGCAGTTGAGTCTAGCCGTACCAAATCCAAAACCATTACTTCACGCAGAAGTTGCCGAAGGAAAAACAGCAAATACGGGTGATAGAATTGTCGCACGGTCCAGCCAAAGCATGATTACGCCCACTAGAACTGAGCCACTGCTTCTAAATGACACAAAGACTGTCAGCAAAGACGCAAGCAATACAACTGAGTCTAACATGACAAAGGACAGCTCAGAGAAGTCATGCTTACCTGAGCCAGAACAACGTTCATCGTCAATGGATTTGGTAAGTACGTTAAGTATGTTTTTCGCTGCAAAACGGTGGAACTTGTGAGCCTTTATACTTTGATCTTGGGTCTACAAATGTTTTAAAACACGCTTCATGTAGACAATTAATAATGTTATCATTCGTTATTTTTATATAGGTTAAAGAACCATTGTGCCTGGCTGGAGTCGTTGCTATTTTTGGTGAAAGTAAAGCAAACAGTGAGCAAATGCCCGAGCCTCTGCCTGGTGAGTAAGAAAAGACAGAACTTTAAGCAAATAATCAACTTTCAAAAGGAGGCAATAATATACAGATAAATGTGTTCCCATTAAGATCTCGTCACGTTTCATTCCCTTAATTGAGCCGTTGTATTTTTGGGTATAACAATGATTTTGGCAAAATGTCAGTGACCGAGTTCTACTTAATTCATTATTCATCTCTCTTCTATTTTATCTTTCTTCTCTAGTTCCACAACCAGTAGCTGAACATGTAACACTAGGAAAAAGAAAACTACAAGACATGCAGGATGAGGATGAGAAAATAATCACTTGTGTTGAGAAAAAAACAGAAGTAAAAAAGAAACGGTGCTGGAGAACAAAARATAAAACACCAGAAAATCATGAGCAACCAAACAAACCACGGCGCTTGGTCAGAAATAGATTCAAAAGAGGCTGAGCAAGAGAAAATTTTTCTTGGGCTGAGCCAACAAAAAAAAAAAAGAAAGAAAGAAAAGAAAAATTTGATTGAGAAATATTTTAATTGATTGAGAATAATTTGAGAAATACTGTATATATTGTAAATATAACTAAAACATGATACATATATATTGACTATCAAATATTCAAATCTAAAACTGAATACCAGGATCAAATCTACCCTACCTCACCCCTGTGCATTACAAATTCGATGTACAGAGGGGGTGGGGGTCAGTTGATCTTGGTGATCAGTTATGAAGTATATTGACTTCTATTACATATTTTTTATTCAAAATTTAGTGATATCTTTTTTTATCAATAGGTCTGGAAAAATTTATCAAAAATATACCTTTAAATTTGGCATCTATTTTCCACAAAAAAAGTTTGCTACTTTATTTATTAATTTATTTTTTAATGAAAAAAATAGAAAATAATTTAAAAAATACAATTTACATTATATAACTTATAAAATCTACATTCAGTAAAACTGACTACCAAGATCAATTCTACCCTACCCCACCCCCCATAACATTTTTCATCTATGGAGGGGCTGGGTGTAGAGGGATCTTGGTAATCAGTTATGAAGCTCTCTTTTCTAGGATATTTCAAAGATCAGTGGAATTGTTCTTATTACAACAAAAAATCAAAGTGTATTACTTCAAATTTGGCTTCAATTATTGCTAAAAAGCTACTTAATGAAATATCCTGGATAAGTTAATGTGACATTGTTAATATTTGTTGAAAAATAAATGATATTATTGTGTTAAATTCTAACTGATAGTGGCTTTTGCCTCTTACTTTGTTATTATATTTCTTTTTTTTTTCTCCTTTTGTTGGTTTTTCTTTCTTTTCTTCCATCACAGCACAGTTTTTGAACATACGTTACGTGATATCTTTAGAAACCTATTCAGTTAAAGGTTAATAGCCTTGTAAGTGAAAAGTAATATTTTGAAGTGACAATACTCCAGTTTTGAGTTCTCCTCTTGGCTTTAGTCTTGTTTGTGGGTTATAATATTCAGCTATTCAACCAAAACCTGTGACATTTTAATCAACTTGTATTGTTTCTTAGTTCATATATTCCTTACTATACAATGGACCTTAATAAAGCACACATTTGTACACAATCGAGGCTAAGACTGAGCAAAGCCGAACTCGAAATGGGAGTATTCTCTATTTAACAATTGGCAGCCAATGTAGCTTATACAAGATGGGCATAATGTGTTCAAATTGACTGTTGTACATCATTCAAGTAAGGAGAAAGATAATAGCATATCAATTTTCTGAATTCTGCATTGATGTATAAAACTTTTTCACTGACTGACTGGCAAAGACAGACACACAGACAGACTGACTGACTGACTGACTGACCGACTGACTGACTACTGACTGACTGACTGACTGACTGACTGACTGACTGACTGACCGACTGACCGACTGACTACTGACTGACTCACTGACTGACTGACTGAGACTGACTGACCGACTGAGACTGACTAACCGACCGACTGACTGACCGACTGACTGACTGACTGACTGACTGATATTATTAATCTTTTAATAATCTTTTTATATCTTCAGCACGTTGGTTACATGTGCTTCTTCCCCAGAAGATATCCAAGTTCTTGTATATTTTCACTGGCAGACTATCATTATGCAGCATGGCACACAATTGACAATCAGAAGAGAAACTTTCGTCAAATGTGTACTTACTTTTCCATTTAAAATATTCATTATAAGCTGTGTCATTCTTGTCTAAAAACTGAATATAGCTTGCTAAGGCTTTGATTGATGGAAAATCTAAAGCATTTATGAATGAACCTGGTATTGCAACCTTTTCGTCATAATTCGAACCTAGAACAATTGGAACCATATTGTTTATAAATGGAGCACTCCAATATTTTTCAGTGACATAGTCTAGACACATACTATTTTCAAATGCAAGGTAAAACTTGGATTTTTTGTAGTCCACTTCACATTGACGTGAGGATCGTTTACACTTATAATTCTGGTTAAATTTCTTTGAACACTTCCCAGAGATTGATATCTTAACATATTTGAGGAGCTTGTTGACTATTTTATCTCTTATTCTTCCACAGTTACTCACAGACCATGCAATAAGCTTGTCTTTCGCTTGAGCATAGTTAACACCTTGGATTACTTTCATTCTTTCTTCAGGTGTAATCTTTCTGTAATATCTATAAGGCATAAAGATATCAGACTTATACCTATAAGTCATTGTCCAGTTGAAGAAATAGTTGTATGCAGTAGGATCGTGAAGTATATAATAAGGACTTTCATGCGAATAGTAAATCCATCGTTGCTTCAGACGGTTCTTGTTCAGTGAGATAGTCCTCATGGTTTCGATGCTTGGTATATCTCGTGCATGGAAGATCACTGCATCGCTATTTTCTAACTCTTCCTTGTCATATGTGAACACACAGTTACTAACAGGACATAGGTTCCCATTTCCATCAGAAAAATAACTGTTGGCTTTTACTCCAGGCCAAGGAGAAATTCCAAACCATGTTGTGTACATGAGGACTCTCTTTGGCTTCGTGTCAGACTTCACTGGAAAATATGTTGTTACTTTATAACTTTTTATGCTCGGTTGGCTTGAATTTTGAAATGTCATAATTAAAAGAAGGAGACATACTAGACCCACAATAATCGTAAAAATAAGAAATAATTTTTTTAAGGTATTCATAATGGCTGCTCGTTGCCGATGGAAGTTACACTGGACCACACCACAGGGAGACCAATCCTTTTAAAACCAGGAAGCACAGACAATGTAGTGGGGGGGGGGGGGGGGGGGGGGGGGGGGGGGCACACTTATCTTTGCTATGCCTTACTTTGGCGATGACAACGTTTCTTGAAGTTGGTGTGTCTTTTTCTTTTGTTTATTCAAATTGTGGTGTGTTTATTCAAATTTTGGCGACGAAAATCAATCGTGCACTTGTTATAATTATGCATGGGTGATTATTTACCAGTTTGTTGCCAAAGTTCAAATTCGACACAATCATGTGTCTAATAACCAGAAGGGAGTTGGCGTCTCCAGGTGATAGACATCACTACTAGTGTTATACCTAAGACTGCTGTCACTGATGCACCGATGTGAAACAATATATATGATCAAGAGAATATTAAGTAACTTACTTACTTACCTGACTAAGTTGATAAAGTAACACTCGCTTCAATCATATTAATCTATCTATTTACTCTTACTATGAGAACTGAGTGAGTTCAACAAATATCGAAACTATATCTATATTTATTTATCT